GCTGCCCAAACGTTAATTCGGGGTCAGGGGCTCAGTTCGGATGGGCTGACCTTTGTGTATTTGTCCGTTCATTATGCCAAGGACATGTTGTGCAACAGTTCCATGAATTAAGTAATTGTGGTCCGGGTGCTTGCACGTTTTCCGGTGCTCTGCTTCGAGCTGACTGTGAATATTCAGCAGTGTGTAATGCACGTCAATTTGTTTGTTCGGTAGCCATGCCCGGTACATCACGTTAGTCACAGGCCTGCTAGCCGGCTTCAGCGGTAGCCTACAACTCATAAAATGTAAATGTCTATCTTGACTAGCTTGAACGTCAACAGCTGGCCACGCTCATGAAGCTGGCAAGATGGCTCCCTCTGTGAGGGCTGCCGAGGAAGAGGATACCGCGGAGACAGTCAGCAAGGCCTTGATGGCCAGTGTTTGACGCGACATGTAGAAACCACGATTATAGAGTTCGTAGGCACATTCTCAAATATGCCGGGTCTTGACCGCTGGCATTCCTCGTCTCCGCACCACTTACTTCCTTGACCACAATACCACCAAGTCGGTGTGCGACAAAGATGATGGGGCGTTGTTCTAAGTACTGCTGGCCGCCATCATCAGCTGTTGAGTCCCAACAATGGTCAGTCTAGGAATGCCGCTTGCCTCCAGGCTTTTCCTTTTGTCGATGAGATGGCTGATGAGATGGCTGATGAGCTGCTTTGCAACGTTCGACACGATGGCAGTACTCATGTTGAACGCAGAGACGGTAGTACTGTACCCGAATGCTCACTAAGAGTGCTCTCGGAACATCTTGAGGAAGAGATTGCATGGGCCAATAGTATTGTGTATCAGAGTTGGTCCATGTGTTCTGAGGGTAGCCGTGATAATACTGACACGTTGGAGAATTGGCTGGCATTTACGAGGGTAGGCGCCATGTATGTCCTCGGACATCTGGACGTATGCGGAATAGAAGCGAAACCACAGAAGCGAAACCAGTTACGAGGGTAGACTTACTCAACGATAGCCGTCGTCTTTAGGATGGAGCACAGCGAGTCCAGCAGTAAAGACCGGTGGGCTCGGGTGTAATGTTGATGCATCTGAGCTTACGCACACATATGACCTCGATGATTTGAGTAAACGATGCTGGGAAGTCTCATGTTGCACATGGACATCGAAAGGACAAAATCTTCTACACTGACAGGGCAGCTGCCTGCTCCGTACAGGAAAGCCATCAACAGCCTGTATAATCCAAAGAGTACTGACAGCTCAACCTAGCCTCCTCTAAGTTAGGCGCGCAGCAGGGCTGCCTCAATTGGATGGAGCATCGTGTGATGCAAGTGTAGGCCCCACGAGCGACAACGGGACAAGAGACTCGATCGCTCAGAAAACACGAAGCCAACATTAGGTTACCGTCGAGTCCCACGATGAGAGAACAGCCTCGGTTTTCCTGCTCGAGCGGAATTCGGCCAACAACATATTAACAAGGGATCGGGTGGGGTTGAGCAAGAGGCTTAGCGAAAGCCATATCTTCCGTGCTAGAAGTCATGTGAGGTGGATCTTGTCGAAACCAGAGAGTTGTAGGTCATGTAACGAACGTGTTTCATCACCGAGCAACGGATGCCACCAATAGCAGACTTTAGCAGCCCCGCGAGGCCTGAGATACCCTCGGCATCGCTCTCCAGGCTCATCGCCGACAAATCAGGCACAGGAGGCCAAAGAGTCGAGGGCATGATCGCCAGGAACTGAGACACCATATGCGCAGGAGCGAGCCGCAAAAAAAGGATGCCGGACAGCCAGGGTGGACAGTAAGAAGTCTGTTTACACGGCACAGTGAGGGCACCCGCCGCCGTATCCAGTACAAAAATGCAAAAGGAATGTACTTGGACGGGAATTGAGCCCGACGTGGGGGTCGAACCCACAACCTTGAGATTGGTCTCTGTCAGAATCGTGAGGTTATCGAGAACCTCACGAGGTCCCGAGTAAGAGTCTCACGCTCTACCGATTGAGCTAGCCGGGCGTCTGTTAAGACGCCTTGATCGATGTGAGGACAGCATCCGGCTGAATTATGATTTCAGACAGCCTGTGGTCGCGCACATGGCAGCCCTTGAGAGTATTTGAAGTGATGATCCTGGTAGGGCCGGTCCCTGAGCCGGAGCGTACTCGGCGTCGGAGACCGGGCGGGCGTCGGGATGGCGGGCTCGGCCCGGTGTCTTGACAGATTGGTGAACGTGACAGCCGCTCCCGAGGTCGGGGCATGACGCGTTGGAGCACAATGTGCTTGCCTGCCTGCCTGTTATTAATGTGTAACTGTCCAGATGTCGCACACCCGGCTCAACCCAGCCAGCCATCGGTGTGTTGGGATCGCGGTGGTCTGCTGACATCTGGGTCTGGAGTGAGCCGATAGCAGCCGCCGAGCGGAGTAGCCTGTGTGTGGCAGGCACGATCCATCTGGACTGTCGACTCGATGCGCCTCGACCGATGCCCGCATCCGCCGTCGAACGGGGAGCGGACGGGGGCGGACGGGGAGCGGACGGGGCCCGCCCGGCCCGTGACCACCGGCCGGGAACGTGTCTGATTGGTCACCGACTTGTACCCCTTGCAGCAAAACACGACCTCAACAATCCTGCTCAGTGGTCATTTCCCCTCAGATCCCGCGGCACCTGAATGCAAGCCCCCGCGTCCCCCTCCTGGTTCGCATTCTACACGTGTAAGGCATGACATGACAGACGATCGCGCCCTGGACAACACCAGACAAGGAAGGATGCAGACAACTTCTCCTACTGCACGGTACACTAGATCTCCGCCGCCCAAATTTCCGAGTACGGCCGACCCACATTCCAGGAAATCCAATTATGCTGACCCATGAGGCTTGAATGTCTCTAATTTCGGATTGCTCTGGCCATTTCATGTTGTTGGCGTGTGGTCGCACGCCCCCTTGCAGCCCCCCCCTCTGCCCTTCCAGCAGCCAGGGTTAGGTCCGGCCCCAGAGCACAAGACCGTGTTTGCAAGCCCTTCCTCCGCCCCGCCCGAGACATATCTGGGACGGTGGCTGTAGTACATTGCGAAGCAAGGGTGCAGTGAGTGTTGGTTGCGCCCAGTCGATTGTCTCAAGGCTTGGCGCCCGCCCGCCAGGGAGGCCTGGCCCAGGAGAGGAAGGTCGTTTCTGCCAGCCTCACTTTTCCGCCTGCGCCGTGGGCGGCCAAGGGCGGCGTTGCCTGCGACGATAGACCGAGGCCGGGACTGGCCTGAGCAGGCCGACTGGCCGAGTGGGCGGAATCAAGCCACACCTTGACAAGTCACCCATCCAGGCCATCCCACACCACCAGGGCCACCATGGCCACCAGGACCACCTGTCACCCATCACCCTGCCACCTTGGAAAGCATGCAGGTCATCATGGAGGTGGCTAAACTTTCCAGGGGTACCACAATGATCAGCCCGGCACGCCCTTGCCTGGGATCCAGCCTATTGGGACCTGCTCCCAGCAGGCCTTGTCGTCACCTTAGCATGTATTGCCAACGCATACATGCCCGGATTACCATGATTTCTTGCGTCGCCAGCCGCCCAGCCGCCTCCAAGCATCATCACCACCCTCAAGGCCACCTTTGCAGGCCCTGCAGGCCACCGCAGCCCGCCGACAGGGGCCCTGGGGCCTTAAAGACCCCGCGGGGAGGGGGGGACACCGCCGTTGTGGCTACTCCATCTGGCGTGGAATCTGACAGTCACAACCAAAGCATGACGTTTTGCTCGCAGCTCCAGCAAGGAAGCATTGGGCAGCACCCAGGTGTGGGGTGACTAGACTATGGAAGCATCGACTACACTAGAGGGGACGGTGACCCCGAACTGACTCCTGTCCGGGTTCGACCGCCTGTGATCAGTGGGACAACGACCTGTTCGGGACAGCAGCGCCAGGCGAGGCGAGGGACGATGAAGGGAGCTCGGGGGGGGGGGCACATCAAGAAAGCATCACAGACGCTCTCAACCACAGGCGAGGGGAGCCTTGTGCCCCCCCGTGACCACTATACTAGCTTCACCGTAGATGCCATCACACAAGGGGCTACCAGGGACCCTTTCAAGGTCTAACAGTCAGGGCGTGATGTTGGCCCGCGGGACTGCCTGCCTGCTGTGGGCAGTGAGAATCCGAGCCCCGTAGAAGGGAGGGCCTGACTCTTCCAACTGACCATGCCAACGCGCCGAGCAAGACCAGGCCGCATAGATGGCCGTTGGCGAATGGCTTTTTCCCCCTTCTTTCTGGTTCTGTTCCTGAGCCTCAACGTCTCTGTGGGCAGTATGACGAGTTCGTCTGAAGGAGATTGTGGCGCCCAACTCTTTTGTGTGCGATCATAGGGCAGAATCCATGGCTATAAGAAGGAGGGACATGGATTATAAAGGGCTGGGAGTGAGCTGGTCTGGGACCAAGCCTGGTCAGGCTCGAGTTGGAGGGTTGAAAGGCTCGGTCGGGCAGCCATTTGCAGCCAGGAACGGTGGCTTGCTTGCGAGGATGACTTGGGACGAGGATGCTTGTTGCCCCAGCGGGCTTGCGGGCCCAGCCTTGAACAAGGACTATCGTGCCAGCTGAGGCGTTGATGTCCCCCGTACACCCGCTTCTTAGCCACCGACCTATAGTAGAGCAGGGGGGTTGAGCTCGGAGGGAGGATGAGTGAAGGAGCGGAACACGCATACGGGCTGATAACGCGACATGGACAGGCCGTTGTTGGGCGCGTGCCCCCAGATGTCTTGACTTCTCCCGGCGCGGGCCTGTTAGTAAGGAAACACCCTACCGGGGCTCGAATGAAACGAAACTTTGCTCCTTTTTCCCATCAGTAAAGCCCGGGAGACACAAGACCTGCATGAGGTGAGGCTGGTCTTTTTGAAGGGGGTTTCCGGCCCGTCCCAGGGACTCTCTTATACACGACGCACCCCATCCGTCCCCTTCCCTTGCCTGCTCCCTCCTGTGCCCTGCCGCCCAGCCAGTCAGCCAGTCGTCCCCAACCTGCACTCATTCCCCCCTGCCCCCCCCCCCGCCGCGGGGAGAAGCGACATCAGCAGCACGTCAGCAACAGAAGGGGAAAGAAACCCAGGGACAAAGGGAAAACACTACCACAGGACCTGACTGTACTGGTAAACAAACATCAGCTCTCCGCGGGCGAACAGGAAATGAGCGCGGCCTCGTAAAGCCCCACGGTCATCTGAAGGGCCTGTGCGCATCATCCTGGGATCGCTGCGACATCTCTGCCTGGCAACGCGGCGCGAGTCGGTCCTGCGTGGAGACGGCCGACGGGCTGAATATCATCATCACACCAGCTTCTGTCAGAATCTGGATCCCCGGGCTGGGGTGAGCCTCGAGCCTGAACCTGCAGCTTTCTGTCTTTCGTTACTTCTTCTTTCCCCCCTCTCTGGTCGCCACCCTGTCGAACGTGGTCTGTGGCTCGGCGCAACGGCTGTGGATTTTGACACGATTTGGACATGCGACTATGACCCGGAAGACAAGTCCAGCCTGTTCACCGCCCGACCAGCTATTTTCCTCGGCACTCCCGGTCGTGACGGGCGTCGGAGTGGAGGTGGGTACAAGAAGGTGCAGGAGTGGGAAGCTGGGCACAGGCCGAGCTGTCATCAAGAATTCAAGGTTCGGCACCAGCTCCATCCAGCAGCACCAGCACCAGCAGCAGGGCAAACGCGACACGACTGGGCCAACTGGGCACTATCGGGCTCGCACACCATCACAACTCAGCAGTCTCTATCCATCCTCCTTGCCCCTGATAGGGAGGGAGAGAGAGTGAGAGAGCGAGAGATCGCACCAACGGAGCTTGCCAACGCGACTCACACACACACACTCACACTCATTTGCGTGCACCTCGTTTGCCAATTCGTCCCAACTGACCGTCACCACCCAAGCGGACACGCACGCAGCCTGCAGGAGGCACCGTCACTTGGCCGTTTAGCCTGTCCCCCAATCTGCCTGTCTGCCCGTCTGCCCGCCACCTGCTTAATCCTACCCGCCTAGTCGGTCCCGTCCTCGAGCCAACACCACCAGCCCCCTCGATTTTCCAATGCGACGGATCGTGGCGCATCCTTGCAACTGCCACTGTCCCTGCGACAACCTCGCCGGCCCTCAGGACCGCCCCAATTGACATTTCCTGCTGGCTGTTCGTTTCTCCTCTCGCTGTGTACTGCCTAACAGCTTCGACTGCCCCCAATTGACTTTGCCTGTGAGTCAGCAACCCACCCACCCACTCACCCGCCCCCCCCCCACGCACCTGTGTTAGCCCCTTCTCCCTCGACGTGTACGCGAGCTCCAAGCCTGCTAGTGTCAGGGAAGGGGAGCTTGCACAGGCCGCGATCCCAGACTCCCGGAGACACGCTGCTGACCGCTCCAACGCCTCGGTTCTTTAGGCTGCCTTTCGTCATCCCAACACACAAAACCTAAACTTGACTTTTCCCCCGTCACCACTCGCCTGGGTGGTGATTCTTCACCTTGTCCACCACCATAGTACCCTCTGGTGATAAGGGTAAGGCGACCGCAAAGGTGACCGACCCAGACCAATCCCCTTCTTACGACCGTTACGAACGTTACGAATCCCCCGATCCACCCCAGCAGCGCCAGCAGCGCCCTCTCCGCCGATCCCAGACTCCGATCTCTCCTGAGCAGAGCTCCAGGTCAGGTGCCTCAACGCCGCTCTCGCACCGAGGCTTGCGCCGCACCCCCCGTTTTGTTGGCACCCCGAGCCCGCCTCCAAACCAGCCTGCCTCGCCGCCGAGACGAGTTCACTTGGAGGCAGTCTCTGTCGGCATCAGTCCCGGGGGGCTCTTCGCCACAGCTGATCCCCAACGGACACCTGACCCACCCGCGACGAAAGATCGGCTGCGACCCATTCGACAGCTCTCCCAGGACTTGCTCAGCGATCCCCTCGAGGAGGCTTCGACCACTCTCCCACCGTCCTTCATCCCTCCAAGGAGCTCGTCCTCAAACAGAACACACCGGAAGACCGCACACCCGGCTGTGCACATCTCCCAGCATACCCACAGTGCGATTCTTTGGGCCCTCGAGGAAGCGTTGAGACAGCCTAACCCTTTCACCCCGGACCTGATCGAGGAGAACGCGTCCATGGCCGATCTACGAGGTGCCGGCGGCCAACCCGCCGTCACGAATGGCTTCTCCCCTTCTGCGCCGAGGCCGACGGCTCCGCCTGCTCAGACTGGTTCCCCGTCTGGAATCAAGGGCCCGAGGATGATCATGCGCGAGCGTCAGGCGAGGGAGGAGCGGCAGCGTGCAGAGCGTGATCGATTGGAGCGCCAGCACGCGGAAAACGAGGCACGACTGGTTGAAGAGCAGCAAAGGAGAATGACGGAGCGCAGGCCCTCGGCTGCTGGCGCTGGACCAACCACCGGCATGGCCCAAGGGGCTGATCCCTCCGCGGCCATGCCCACCCACACGCTGGACCCCGCCGAGAACACGCAGCGCAGACAGCAACAGCCTTCGGCGCCACACGCGCAACAGCCCTCACTTCGACCCCACCAATCGAGCCAGTCACACCGTCAGTCACGGACCTCTGCCGCACAGCAACAGCAAGCTCATCAATTCTCCGGTTTGCCGGACAGCGGTGGCGCCGGCGAGCAGATGCCGAGCGCACCAGCGGCTCAGCCTGGCGACGCCTCCACGACCACCAAAGCCCAGCCGAGGAACTCATTCCCTCATGCCTTCGAGCGATGGGAGGCACTGTCAGCTCACTGGGAGGGCCTGACTTCGTTCTGGATACGGAAGCTGCAACAACACGCGGACGAAATCGACCGAGATCCCGTGTCAGCGCAGCTTTCCCGGCAAGTGAGCGATCTGTCGGCAGCTGGCGCAAACCTATTTCATGCCGTGGTTGAGCTCCAACGGCTCCGGGCAAGCTCGGAGCGCAAGTTTCAAAGATGGTTTTTTGAGACTCGGTCCGAGCTGGAACGGCACGAGGAGACAAAGGCGTCCCTGGAGCGGGCGCTGAGAGAGGAGCGCCAGTCCAAGGCAGCCGCTATCCAAGAGGCAGTCGAAAATGAGCGTGCCAACAACAAGACCCAGAAGCGCGTCAACGAGATGCAGAAAGAGCTCCTCATATCAAAAGAGGAGGCGCGGCGGGCTTGGGAGGAACTGGGCCGCCGGGAGCAGGAGGAACGCGATCGCACGTTCTCCCTGCAGCAAGGCTTACCTACTATTGTCGGGGGCGTGCAGGTGGTGCCAATGACCCAAGGTGTGCCCAGCAGGGGACCAAGCAGCCGAGAGTCGCGACAGGCACAGCAGCCCGAGCTGCCACCACAGCAGTCTCAGTACCCCCCGGGTAAGCCTCCCCCGCCGGCAGCCCCAAGCTCAGGCGCAGGTGGGGGCTACTACCAGTCACCACAAGACATCGAAGAGGAGCGGCCATACACTGCCGAAGGAGGATCAGAGGCGGGCTACAGCGAAGGTGAGTACGTCATCGACGCTCAGGGCAACTTTGTTCGGGACTCGCACGGAGACAGAGTCCCCTACCGTGCCCCGGGCACGCCGGGAGATGATGACTCTGACTCTTGGACAGAAGAATACGAGACTCCTTCGGCGCAACCTGGCGTTAGCTACCCTCCTTCGGCCTCTCAGTGGTCCGGGACGTACACCTCTAGCCAGCCTGACTACACAGGCACTGGCTATGCTGCTCCTGGCTGGGAGACAATGCCCCGCCACCACCACCCAACGCGACTCAGCGACGTGCTCGAAGAAGATGAGACGCGTAGCCGGACGAGCGCTAGCCAGAGCCAAGTCAGCCGGGCCTAGGCCTCCTCGTGGCGCTTCGCCGAAGTGTGTCGGTTCCACCGGCTACTTCCTCCCGGTGCCCGGCGGCTTCCCGACACTCCTGACGTTCAAGATGCCGGTGTTGCAAGTTGCGGGTGGAAGAGTTCTATGGTGCCTGACAGGACCGGTAGGGGTCTCACCCGGCGGCGCAAACATACCTGGCGGCCGCTGGGTGCTGAGATGTGCCCTGTCGCATCTTTTGGTTACATATGGGGAGAATTTCGGACACAAGGCATTGGACACCCCGGCAGTATTTTATTGCATAGCATGCATGCATCGGCGGCATACGGCGACCAAGGTCATTTTTTCGTTTCATTTGCAATTGAGGCAGGCACGACGTGTTGTTACCAAGTGTACACGATCGAACTGCGACTGATACCATTTTTTGTACGCCCACACAGATATTCTGTGTGTGTTCTACTCCATGCAGCCGAGCAGTTCTTTGGGGACGGGGGTTGGGGGCGGGGGACGGGCCAGATCTGCGCTGGAAGGAGTTCTTGTTGTACTGGATTATTTCTTTGGAGGACGTTTAATGCTCCGTCGGAAAATGGACCGTCTGATCGGTCGAATTCTTGGCGGAAGAGGGCGACGAGACCCGACAGCACTGGGACCCTGGGGACTCCAGACCCCCTCGGAAGGAACATCTTCAGACCGTTGGGCCCTGGCCTGGGGCGTGAGCGCAAGTCTGGCGCAGGGATCGAAGTGAGGAGAGGAACATGGGCTCGTCACCCTCGATTCCATGCACCAGACGGGTGCCCGCTGTGGCCACTCTGGGATGGGCTGGGCGAGACTGGCCCCCTGGGCCCACAACCTACCTGCCGCAGAGAGCTGACGCGGGCGGCACGACGGGGCGGGATAATAGAAGTCGGAAGGAGGTGGAAGACCAGAAGAGCGTAATGTAATTTTATCTTCGTGAAGTAGCGAGAGTATTTGTCAGAAGCCCATGGCTGGCAGAAAGCCGGCAGCGATGAACAAGAGGCGATAATCTGCACAGTCCAGGTGAAGACGCCGTGAGAGTATCCGTGAGGAATTGGCCGTGTGGCATGTGTCTTTGGTCTGAGCTGGAAGTGAGGTGGACAGGGGACGGTACACACAGCGTGTGAAGTCACTGAGCTCTAGAAGTGAGGTGACCCACACTGCGGCGAGAAATGCATGTGGACGGAGGCGGCCGCCCCACACACACGGCACCCCTCCTGGGGAAGGGGTGGATACTTACCTAAGTAAGTACCAGGCTGGCCGACAACTGCACGTTTCAACGTGCTCGACAGTCATTACACAGCAACCCGTGACTCTGGGCTGACGCATCGTCCCCCTTTCCACCACACGATCGAGCTTTTGATCCAGCGTGCACTAATCCCATCACTGGTCTCGGTGGCGCACGCACCACGCACGGGGCAGGCCTTTGAAAGAGTGTAGTGGGCTCCCAGCGGCCACGATGAGCGCGGCGTTGAGGGTGAAGGCGCTGCCGCTGCCGCTGCCGCTGCCGCCCTCGCCATTCTCCCGGAATGTCGGGAGCTGTTGCTGCTACCACTCATCTGCCGCGGTTGCCCGCGCCCTGCCCGGGAGGGCGGCAAGGGTTCGAACGCCTCTCTCACGAGGCGTCGGTGCTACAGCAGAGAGGACCTGGCGTGTGGGGGGCGTGAGGTGGAATAGCAGCGCCAGCAGCGGCGCCAGCGCGTCCTCTGAAGACGGCGAGGGCGTGGCAAGCTCGCAGACATCGCTGGGGAGCGGGTCGGGCGTCGGCGGCGAGGCTCAGCCTGCAGCGCCGGCGTTTGCCTTTGCATTCGAGTGGGTTCCGTGCCGTGCCTGTCCATTGACCCCCTCGCGAAGCCGCTGACTCCTTGGCAGCATCGACGGTGTGCTGTTGCACACTTCCAGGCCAATACCTGGCGCCACGGAGACCCTCAGGTTCCTCCAGCGGAACCGCATCCCGTTTATCCTCTTGACAAACGGAGGGGGGAAACCCGAGGCCGAGAGGGTGGCGGACCTGACCGAGAAGCTGGGCGTGCAGCTCGACGTGTCCAGCTTCGTGCAGAGCCACACCCCGTTCCAGAAGCTGCTGGACCCCAGTGCGGACCTGGGCTACCCGCGCCTGGAGAAGTACCTCAAGCAGTCACTCGGCAGGACGAGGTTCCAACGCAAGGACACCGTGCTCGTGCTAGGCTCGGACGCGTCCAAGTCGAGGCGCATTGCCAACGGGTACGGCTTCGAGTCGGTGGTGACGCCGGGCGACATCCTCAAGGCGTGTCCGGAGATCTTCCCGTTCGACCCCCTGCGCGAGTTCTACGACCGGCAGGAGACGCTGCCGCTGCCGAAGCCCATCTACAACCCCAGGGCCGACCCGGCGATGAGGCTGGAGGACTGCCTCAAGATCGACGGGATCCTCACCTTCAACGACCCGCGCGACTGGGCCGTGGACGTCCAGCTCGTCACCGACCTGCTCCTCTCGCACAGGGGCTACCTGGGCACGTACAGCAGCAGGAACAACGACCGGACGCTTCCCCGGGGAAACCGGTGGCAGTCGGACGGCCAGCCGCCCCTCATCTTCAGCAACGTCGACCTGCAGTGGAGCACGGGCTACCACCTATCGCGGCTGGGCCAGGGCTCCTTCCGCGGGGCGGTGCGCGACGTGATGGAGAGGCTGCGGGGCGGGCGGTCCGACGGGGACATCAAGACGTTCGAGTTCGGCAAGCCCCACCGCCCAACCTACGCGCACGCCTGGGACACACTGGAGCGCCACCGCGGGCGGCTCGGCCTGCCTGACCTCAACGTCGTCTACATGGTCGGCGACAACCCGGCCAGTGACATCGCCGGCGCGTCCAAGTGGAACAGGCGTTTCCTGGGTGGCAAGCCGCCCGGGCCGTGCTGGAAGTCGTGCCTGGTGCGGACGGGTGTCTGGAAGGAGGACGTGACGCCGATTGACCGCCTCGGCGAGAAGCCGACCCATGTCGTGGACGACGTGAGGGCGGCGGTGCAGCGGGCTCTGGAGGAGCAGAAGTGGCCGGGCGGGTTCGAGTGACGGGTCGGGGGTTGCGGGCCAACGAGCCCAAGGGCAGCCAGCCATGGATCGGGGATGGGCACGGGGAGGCCGGACCATCCCCGGTGGGTCAGGCAAGGCATGGACGTTGTAGAGTACGGAGTATGGGCAGCGCATTCCCCGGTGTTGGATGCGTTCCATGATCAGGCCATATTTGCTGTTACAATACTACCCTACAGATAGAGGATCATGTGGTATAAGACGAGGATTTGTCTTGGTGACGCTGTACAAGCAGCTCGTCCCCGAGACCCATCAGGACCTGGTGCTTGCTTGCCTTACCTGCAGTGGCCGCTGCGACAGGGTCTGACGGGATACTTGACGGCCCACGGCCCACGGATGACCCCAAGCACACATCCTACAGCCCGACTGGTGGCTCTCTCTCTCTCTCTCTCTTTTCTGGCGCACTAGGGCAACAGGTCGAGGCTGGATGCCCACCAACCATGACCTGTTGGATTACGATCAACCGAAACGGCGACGACATCAAGCCCAACCTGTCCCGCTGAGACACCAGCCGGGATAAATTTCTCGAGGGAGCAAAAAAAGTAGGGTTGTGGGGTGTGATTGTGAGTGCGGCTGGCCGGCTGGGAGACACGGGCAGGGATAAATCAGGTGAATCCACGATGGCACGGTCGGATTTCCAAGGACGACTGCGACGTCGCACTTTGTGTGAATTTTGCTTTTAGCAGGGTGACGATGGGATCCGAACTCGGCACTGCTGGAGAAAAAGGCAACGAATGGCATTGCAGCAGGCGTCGGCAGAGGAGCACCGAGACGAGAGGGCTGCCGAGGCGGGACGAGAGGCCAGGCCAGGAGCCGTCGCTGCCCAACCGGAAGAGCTCCAGGGCCCGTGGCATGACAATCACGAGAGGCAAAACTCAAATCCCCATTGCCAGTTCCCATGCCTTGCTCGGGGGGACGGAGGCACGGAGGCACGGAGGCTGGGAGGGAGTGAGGGAGTGGTGTTCGTCCGGGCTGGGCTGCATGGAACGTCGCTGTCAGCTGCAGGTGGCCCCCCGGCAGCCGGGGAACTTGTGGGCGGTGCCCCACAGGAGCTCTTCCCTGGCTGTACCGGGTATTGTAGCCGCGCGTCTCGGGGGGCCCAGGGGGCCCAGGGGAGAAACAGGCACTGACCGAGGGCTTGGACCAAGAGATGCGTGTCGCCCATGGCTGGCAGTTCCCTGACGAGGGCCATGCGGTGCTTGTTTGGGGGCCAGGCAACCGGCAGGTGGTATTTTTTATTTTAATTTTTGGTTTTGTTTTTATTATTATTACTGTTGCAAAAAGACAAATGGGCCGTGGTGGTCAAGACAAGGAAGGATGAGGCTCTGGGGCAGGATCTGGAGGTGCATTAGGGCTGTCCCAGGGGGGGGGGGGACATGCCCCAGGTAGTACAGGAGATTTCATGTAGGTGAGCTGCAGGCAGCGGCAGCGGCAGCGGTTAATGCTGGGTGCTGGGTGCTGGCTGCTGGCTGCATGGGCATCGGGCTGTTGTGGGAGGCGCCCTGGAAGGCGGCGTCCATGCTGGGGGTCGTGTAGCACAACGGCCAGTGGCCGGTGGGCGACACGCTGCTCGACAAGGAGCGCTGATAGGCAGGCTGGCAGCCTGTCCATGTCCCACGTCCTCTCCTTCTGTCTGCCCGTCTTGTTCTTCACCGACTCTATATGCTTTTGCGCTTGGGGGCTGGCCCTCTTCGCACTCGGGCCTCTCTCTCTCTGCTGACCTCTTGTCCCGACCTGGCCCCAGCCCTGAACCCTGGCCCTCCCATCATCTCGTCGCCGCGCTCGTGCTCGCAACGCAACGCAACGCAACGCAATAGCAACAATTACAATTACAATTATAATTACAATCACAATCAATACAATACGTCCTCAACGCCACACCAGACATAACAATACCCGGAGACCACAGTACCACCCCACCCACGCACCCACCCACCCACATCAGCCGTCCGCGGCTCGGTCTCTGCCTCCCTCGCGCCCTGCCCTTGCGCAACCGAGGCAGAGGGGTTCGCCCAGGCTGCCAGGGTCGGCGCAAACCCAACATCGTCGGCAAGAGATTGCACTTAGGTCCCTACCTAATAGCTGCCTTGGGTGCACACTTCCGTCCCTCTTACTCAACCTCGCCGTGCCTCGCCTTGCCTCGCCGTGCCTCGCTGTATCACCACCACCACCACCCGGCCAGAGAGCACATCCCCTTTTGTCTTGTTCCCCCTCGGCTCGGGCTGCTTATTACACAACCCCCCTCGTTGCAGACTGCCCACCACCTCCACCACCACCTCCTCCACCCGCCCGTCAGCCAGCCCCGTGGCGCATCTTTTCTCCCCTCCCCTCCCCATCTTTTGCTGGTCGGCAGGTCGACAGCAGTCCCCCCAGTCTCCCACGCAGTACTTGCCTTGTATATGCTCGCTCCTTGTGCCACGCCCGTAATACAAACCCCCCACAAATACCGCCTGTCAGTTTGGTCCCCGCCCAGCCCCGCGGCAGACTCCACGGATCCTGGTCAACAAAGAAAGCCGCACCCGAATCGTTGCGTGCCTCGCCAAACCCACTCCCGCCCCACACACAGCATTGCCATGAGCGCATCTGCTCCGGAACAATGACGCCGTGCGCGAAGCAGCCGCAGACGCTTCAGTTGAGGTCGCTATCGTTGTCCTCGCCGTGTTGGACGACTCGGCCCTGTGCCCCGTACCCCGCAATATTGTGGGTTTCTTGCCGCCTGCCTCCGAGTCGCTCACACCGCAACCACTGTGCTTCTACACGCCCAAAACACACCCGCCCATCGGTCAGTCGCCTGGCGACTTGACGCGGGTTGAGGTGCTGCTTCTGGAGTCCCCTGGAGGGACCTCACCAGTGTGAAGCACACGCCGAGTCCCCACGTAGCAGCAGCAGCAGCAGCTCCTTGACCGCTTCCGCCGACAGAGCCCCCTCGGGCCGCCGCCGCCGCCCCCCTTCGCTCTCCGGACACCTCTGAAATCTGCCCCGGGACCATGTCATCTTCCTCCCAGGCGCCCCAGGCCGTCCCTGTCAGTCAGCTGGGCCTTTCGGCCGACGAGGTCTCGGTCCTCCAGCACGCACAGAGGGAGGCTGCTGCCGGCGGGTCAAGCTCCTCGCGCGCCGCCAGTCGTGCCTCCTCCCAGGGCCTCCTGATACTGGACAGCAGCTCCCTCGCCCAGCTCGGCCGCCACTTTGACCGCCTCATGCAGCAGATCTCACAGCAGCTAGACCACCTGACCGAGCAGTCCCAGATCGTGACCATGGCCGTATATGACGAGGCTGGCAACCTGATGGACAACTGCGACGTCGAGATCCGCAGGTTCCATTCCATCATGGCACAAATCGACGACCTCGAGGTCGAGTTCGACCGCATCCGCCACATTCGAGACATTGTTCGGGGATACCGCCAGCGGGTGCAGGAGATGGAACGCGCCTTGGAAAGCTCCCAGCCGAGCTCGTCCCGCCATCATTCGAGCAGTAGTAGGCACGGGCATTCCTCACATGGCCACCACTCATCATCATCATCACATCGACACCACCATGGCCATCGGAGGGAGAGGCACTGAGACGGACGAGACAAGGAACGGACCAGAAAGGAATACCACCAATCATATATACATATTAAAAAAAAAAAAAGACAGCATGACAGACACCTGGGGGCCGGGGGAGGGAGAGCCAGGCAGACCATGACGTTCGAGGAAGATCACAACCGAGGGACTGGGAAGTGATGAATAAGTCGGGGACGCCGTCGCACGGCGCGTTGCGCCGAGCCTTGTCGGTCGAGACAACAGCAAACACGGCAAACACGCCTCGTCTCACGACGATACGGATCGGTTAGAAAATAAGGTCACGCGGCCGCATGGAAACACAAAAACAGGTTCACTCTATTTCGCGCAAGGGAGGTTTCCATTGCCCAGAAAGCAAGCGGATTATTTCGCGGGTGACCACAGGACCGCGGCTTGCCCAGGGGTCAGGTTGCACCTCCAAGCGATGATATCGATGTCACAAAGGGCCGTGCCTCTCTCTCATGGTGGTTGAAGCAGGCCTCGGCCTCGGCTCATTTGCCAGGGCGATGCCAAGGGTTTTTCTGTTGAACATAAAAAACAGGAGAGAGAGAGAGAGGCGAACGGCGTGCTGTCGATGGGCAGAGATTCCCTTATTGTCTTGCTCTCCCAGGATGGGGTGGTCTATCTCTCTCTTTAAGATCGATCTGCGCCTCACGGCTGGACTAAGAAGGGACTATTTAGCCTCGCGGCAAGTATGATGACGACGATACGACGATACTGAATTCTCTGTGTTACTTTTTTTTTCAATGTTCGCACTTCTTCATCGTCCTTGATCTTGCTTTACTTTGTTCGACCCTATATGTATCTGAAGACTGCCGTCTTCTGCAGTGGCAGTTTACCCGCTAGCGTGTACTTTTATTTTTGGTTGTCGGGAGAGAAGAAGGAGAGAGAGAGAGAGAGAGAGAGTATGGCTGTGTGTGGGTGTGGAAAAAAGGAGAAAGCAAGATTGTGTCTTGTCGTATACCCCATAGTTGAACGAAGTACTTTATCATAGACAAGCTCGCTTGATGAGTTGACAGGGTACTTATATATAATAATGGCCATGTTGTGGGCGGTAACGTTGCCGTTGCCTCACAATATCACGGAAACTCCGTACAAGCAAGCATTTGAATTTCTAATGTGCCACTAGTCCATAATCAATCAGGGTTCTCCCGTGACGGTAGCAGGTGTGGTTCGAGTAGGGAGGGCACTTGATACAATTTCTACCGGTGCCCTCTGAGGCTTGCTTGCTCACTTCGCGTCCCCCAACTTGACAACGTCGACCCAGGGCTTGACTTGCCAACCCACTGTGCACTGTAACCCGCGAAACTACAGCACGTGTCGAAACACAGTGGGAAACGGATGCACCCGCACACACCGTGCAGGTATGGCCCTCTTGTACTGGCTTATTGATTCCAATAGCACGGCATACAGTCTCAGTGATCCATCATCATCTTGACCCTTCCCTGCAGACCCTCTGGCAGCTCCTCCAGCCTGATAAGCCCCATCTGAACACAGTCGCCCCAGAAGAAGAGTGCGCGTTCGTGCGCATAAGTGAGGTAGTCAAAACCTTGCTCGTCCTCGGACCCGCCGGCGCCTTCGCCGCTGCTGCCCGCCGCACTATCTTCAGACGGCATAGGCGAGCCCGGCGCCCGACCATGAGCCTCACCTCCTTCTCCCTCACTGCCGTCCGCGTGAGCCTCGGTATACCCCGGGATCTTGGCCTGCACGATGCCCCATGCGACCCACTGGGCACTGATCATGGCGCGCCATAGTCGCGTCTCCTTGACTAGCTCCTCGACTCTCTGGTCCACGCCGCTCTCTGCTCGGCGCTCCTCCTCCTTCCACCCACCCGGCGGCGCGCGTGCATCAAGCATGAACTCGACAACGGAGCTACTCGGGTGCTGCGGCGTCACCTGCGGCGTTGCCGAGGGTGTAACGTCCGCGTCAGAAGAGGCGGATGCCGTTGTGGAAGACACAATCTTGGGTCGATGCTCAAGGTACGCCTTGATGAAACGCTGCTGCTCCTCGACTGAAGGGTAGCGTTCCACGTTACACGCCCCTGGCGTATGCGGGTCATGGTAGTTGTACATCCATTCGCTGAAGTGATTTGCAAATTCACAACCCGGGACGTTAGCTGAGGCGTACTCAAAGTCGATGACGATAAGCTGCTTGTGCTGGTTCTCAGGCTGCAGAAGCGGGGATTTTTCGTCGTCGGTGCAGACACGGAGGATGTTGCCGTATTGTGTCTATGAGCCTGGGGGTCAGCGATTCGAAATTCTCGGTGAGCTGGGAGTGGGGGATTGAAGATAGACAGATACTTACGTCGTTATGAGCGAAGACTAGCTTCTTATTGATGCCTTCGGATCCATAGGATTGAACGAGGAATTCCCGGTACTTATCGACCATGGCCTTGAACCTGGGCCATTCTACACCACAGAGATAACCACCCTGTTTCCAACAATGTGAGCCCCCGGACGGCCGAGCCGCATCGTCGCCTGCAGCAAGCCTGTCGAGGAAGAGTGTCCTTCTTTCAACATTTTCCATCCAACAGTCCCAGTTCTTGAACATTGTCGGACCACCATCCCTCTCCTCCTTCAGGAGGTCAATACCGGAATGCAGCTCACGCATACGTTTAGCAATCTGCTTAGACGTTGCTGCTTGCCGCATCTCTTCAGGAGTCAGGGGCACGGCGTTGAAAAACTGCTCAAAACGACCGTTGGTGAACGTCCCCAACATCCGTGGTCCTATCTTCTTGCGGGCCAAGCGCTTCAAAACACTGAGCTCATTGTCCCGATCAATCAGGTTCTCGACATGAGGGCCGTAGATCCGCAACAATAATTTCTGGGGCGTTTTCTTAACAACCTCCGAGTCGCCAGATGGTATATGTTCAGGCGGGGTCACAACGTAGACTGCGTTGGTCAGGGCGCCACTCAGTCGCTCAACTTGGATGTCGTCCCCGGAGTCTAATGCCACGCGCCTCCAGCCCTTCAACCGAAGCGTATGCGCGAGGCGGATGATCTCGTTCTTGAAAGCTGCCCATGCCTTCTTCTCTCTCTCTTCCCGCTTGCCGGATATAGATGAACAGTCATCCGCTGACGGGCTGCTGTATTTCAACGTCTGGGTATTGTCAAGGATAGCATCGCAACTCGGCACTATGAGGTCTCCATCTACATAGTCTGTGTCCGATGAATAGGCTCGAGAGAGCTGGAGAGAGGCACGCGAAGATGCCTTCTTGCGGTGCGAGAGTCTCCGACCCAGCTTCGTGTTGTAGTGCGGCACAGAAGTGATCCCCAAGGCGGCCATGCTGTCGTCGACAATGCGCTGGAGCCGGTCGAGAGAAACGTCACTGGAGTTCGAGTCGATAGAGGCCGTCCTGCGCAGGGTGCTGTCGACATCTCGCTCCGCGTCTGGCTCTTCAGGCACCGGAGGCTCCTCGGTTTGGGGCTTCTGCTTCCGGCGCGAGTGAAGGTGGTGATGGTGATGATGCTTCCTGGGCTTTTTAGTCTCCCGCTTGGCCTTCTCACGCTGGAGCCACTCAGCAACCTGAGCAAGTAGCTTCTCAGATGCGCGATCGATTCTTTGGGAGCCACTGTGAAGCTGGTAAGGAGCTTGTGTCTTTTGGTCTCCGTGTGCCGCAACCTCTTCTGGGGGCTGTGGCAAGGACGACAGGCTCGCATTCCCATTATGATCCAGAGCATCAATACTGCTCTGACTGGGGAAAGAGGTCCGGGATGAGCTCGCCGCTGGCAATGGCGGTCGCCCGCTGAGGCGGCGCCCGCTGACGCTGGCAGCAAACTCCCGTCTCGGCCTTGGCTCCTCCTGAGGGAGGGGCTCAGGTTCAGCGATTTGGACGGCTAGAGAGAACCAATGTCAGCAAGAGCAATGCGAAGATGCTAATCGGGGCAGACAATCATCTTATGCGGTAGTTTGGAGACAGGACATGGCGAGGAGATGACATCCAGTCTCGAGCACTACCAGAGACGGGAATACAACACCAGGCCTGTGCGAGATGCAGACGCAGGGGCTGCGTGGACCTGATGGGAAGGTGAGAGCAGAGGCAGCTCGAGGTTTGGGGGGATTCTTACCCTTGGTTGGGCCACAAGGTGGTGGTTGGGAGAGGTCGTCCTCGCTCTTCAAGGCAGACCTGATAGGCTGGCCCTGGGCGTTGAGAAGTGGTGTCGAAGGCATGACGATGGCAAGGGTTGATGTGGATTTCAAAGAGTTGCAGAGCAGTGTGTTAATTGGCAAATGACGTGCTGGGGTGTTGCTGGCCTTGGATCGTGTATCGTCGGGCGGGCTGGCGACACGTGCGGTCAGGTGAGGGTATTCCAAAAAAGATGTGCGGTGACAAGCAGGGGATTGGGGTTGTTTTAGGCTCTCATCAAGGCCTTGGAAAGATAAGAGCTGCGGTGTAGGACTAATTTCCGAGGGCAGCGACAGATAGGAGAGGAGGCCTGGCACTGTTATCTACACTGGAGATGCAGAAGATGGGATGCGCGGACAAGAATCGGGTGCTTTGTGTGCACAGCACGCGCTGTCGACGGGCAGTGAGGCGGATGTTGCGATTGAGGCAGGTGGGAAGGGAACAGCCAGCAGTGAGCAGTGAGCAGTGAGCAGGGGGGGAGGCACCGGCAGGGGCAGGGGTGCGAGAAGGTTATCATGTGTCAAGAGCTGTTCCTTCTGGCGCTTGCCAATGGAAATGACAGGCAGCAAACAGTTGCGGTAACAAACTTGAATTTGAATGGCACGAGGGCTTGGTCGTCGCTGCTGGCCTATTCTACCTGAACCTGAACCGTGGCGGTGACGTAAGTAGCTCCCCCGTCGCTTCTGTCTTGTCTTTCTCCCCCTCGATGCCCGAGCCGCTACCGGGCAGGCTCGCAGGGCAGCTGGAGTTGTGGCACAAGCCTAGCTGCCTAGCTGGTGTTTGGCTGGGTACTTGGTACACCGTACCGGTCCTCCACGAGGCGTCCCCCCCTCGCCAAAAGTTTGAAGCCATCGTGCAGGGCTAAAACGCACCCACAGCTGCCCTTGAATTCCACACGGGCTAGCGCGTCACATGGGTTGGGGCCGGTGGCCAGGAGCTCGGGTGCCCGGGAGGGAGATGCACGTTTGAGAGCCGCGCTGCAACTCTGCTTCACACCCAAACACCTGGGCAGCACTACTCAGTACGGAGTACTATGTAGTAATAATGACCTTGGAAGCCATTACGTGATCGACAAGTTCAACCCCATCCTCCAATCGAGCCTCGTCTTGTTCCGCGGGCTATGCTTCAAACAGCATTCAAGTCAATATTCTAGATTCTTCCAACCGCAGAATCAGCCCCCCACCCCTCGCATTGGGTCGCTTCAACCGACTCGGCCGCGCCTTGCCGCTTTTGGTAACGACGCCCCCAGGGAATCTCGGGACCATGCTCATTTGTTTTTCTTGCTCAGACTAATTAGTACATGTGCCGTACAACATGCTGGCAGAGTCCTGTCTACCCCCGACAGGTTGCAGGTTGCAGGTTGCAGGTTGCAGGTTGCAGGTTACAGGTCATAGCTGGCCATCGCAGACGGGAGTGGCTGAGCAGCTAGCTGGAGCTGGGTGAGTGGAGAGACTGCGCTGTTCCAGACGCCTCCATGCACGACTACTTCCTGAACTCTCCCTTCCACTCCCTCATATGACCCAGGATCACACCCGCTGCCTGGTCAGGCGAGTGTTGCCGTCCCAGCGCCTCGACGAAATCGCCCTCCGGGTCCATCAGGTAGAAATATATGCTGTGATCCACCAAGTAGTCCTGACCCGCTGGGACCTTGGAAGGTGTGCTGAAGTAGACCCTGTAGGCCTTGCACATGGCCTTGATCTCGTCATACGAGCCCGTCAGCCCCACGAACCTGGGGTGGAACTCGGCCAGGTACTTCTTGAGCTCCTGGGGACCGTCGCGCGCAGGGTCGCATGTCACGAAGATCCCGTTCAGCCCCCCCGGGATCTCCTTCTCGACATTGTCGAACATGACTGCCATCTTGTCGAGCTCTTCCGGGCAGATGTCCGGGCAGTGTGTAAAGCCGAAGTAGACCTGGAGTTGCGCGCGCGCCCACTTAGCTACTGCTCTGGCATGTCTGTCATGGCATTGCTGTTGCGGCTGGGCTGCTTACCAGGGAGTACCGGCCCTTCATATCCTGGTCGGAAAAAGGCCTGCCGTCCTGGTCCACAAGCTTGAATGACCCGCCGACCTTTGGCTTCCCGACCGCTTTGTTCGCCTCTGCGATGCGCTTCTTCTGCATGCGCTCTTTCTCATGTTCGAAGTACCAGGTCAGGCCGCCGGCTGTCACGACGAATAGCACGAGTGCTTTCCAAGAGAAGGGCTGCGATCCGGATGCGATTAGCTTCGCTGGTGGCGATCGGCTGGCCAGTTCGTCTGCCTACCCCTATTTGGTACCTGCTCTTCGCCTCCTCGACGGACTTGTACTTGAAGCGCTTCTGCACCAAGGGCTGGTGCCTCGCAGGCTGGCCGAGGGTGTTTGTTGTGAGGGCTGGCCGTCGAGCGACGGAGGTCTGTGACGAGGAGAGGAAACGCCGGCATTGTCGCGATGGCACTCGGGTTTCCTGGAAGGCTTTCAGCAATGCCCTGGACGGGGCAATTGACCTAGACATGTTGCCCGTTGCAGGAGGAAAAGGGTGGTCGTGGTGGCCGTGGCTGTCGTGGGGGAAAACCAATGCGCAGAGCAGGTGAGCACACGCCGAAAGCTTCACGCCACTAAGAGTAAGACGCGAAGTAGGAGCCGGGGCCGAAATCGATCGCTCATCGTCCAAAAGGCTGCAGGAGCTCGGGCCAGTTCGCGGCACGCCGGGTGGGGCCGGGCAGCCGCCAATCAGCTCTCACTGCTCCACGCTCCATGAAGGGATCGAATTAATGAGATCAACAGTCTCGTTGTATCAATCATCAAGCTCATCAAGCATAAATCCGCCGGATTGTGGCTGGCCTTGCAATTCTGGCCCTGGTTTGAATCTACAACTCTATCCTTATCGCCCGGACGAGGCTTCAAATCCGGACATCTTATGGATGTCTGCACCAGCTCACACTTCTCCGTTCAGCCACCGGAGCATGCGCCCCCACCAGCCTTAGCCATGGACATTGACCAGGCTGAGCCTGCGCCGACGCAGGATATGGCCATCAAGAGAGAGACCAGCGACGGCGTAGACAGCGATCCCCGCATGTCGCAAATCCCAGAAACTGCAAACAATGGCTCTCTTGGCCCACGCTCATCACAACCACGCTCCATTTCTCAGGCCGATGGCACCCTGGACGACAGGCCGGATGCGATGCTGGGGCCCGCATCCAGGGCCATCAGCAAAAAAGGCACGGCCAAGCTCATCAAGAAGACTTCCCGCAAGACCACCGGCGGTGGGACCCGCGGCGGTCGGAAATCGCGCGGCGGCAGCAAATCTGGTGCATCTCGGGCCAGGAAGACCACCACGGCCACCACCGCGGCTTCTCAAGCCTCGGCCTCATCGCCCACAGGGGGCGCCCTTGCGTCTAGTGACGCTGGGGGCAGCGACGACGAGGAGTCGGACCATGGCCCTTACTGCATCTGCCGGGGGCCAGACGACCACAGGTGGATGATTAGCTGCGACATGTGTGATGACTGGTTTCACGGCGAGTGCGTCAACATCGATAAGACGATAGGCGAGGCCCTGATCCAGCGTTACGTGTGTCCCGGCTGCACGGACAGGCAGGGCATCAACGTCACCAGGTACAAGAAGACGTGCAGTCTCGAGGGCTGTTGGAGGCCAGCAAGGATATACGACGAAATACGTCGCGATGCCGATTACAGCGTCTTCTGTAGCGACAAGCATGCCGAGGAGTGGTGGGAGCAGCTGGTCAGGTCACTGCCCGAGAACCGCAGTTTAAAAGCCAAGGAGGCAGACCTCACGAGGGAGAAATTCATGGGACTGTTGAACGTGTCGCACAAGTCTGTTCAGGGCGAAGAGCCATGGCATCTTGGCAAGAAGCCATTCGGTAAGGACATCCAACTTCCATTGGATCGAGTATCTCCCATTCGGTTATGAGACTCATCGCTTCGACGTTTGCGCCCTCACAAGAAGGGGCTTGGACTGACACATTCGTCTAGCCGTACCCAGTGAGTTCTGGTCACATGTCGACCAGACGCTCGTTTTCACGCCAGAGGAGCGATCTTTTCTCGCTGCATCCGCCGCGGACCGCTACGCGCTGGCTGAGGAGATCGTACTGAACAAGAAGATGCAGCAGCTCCTCGACCTGGCCAACGAGCGACGCAAAGCCGCCATCGCCGAGGGCTTGGTTGAGAAAGACGTATGCGGTTACGACACTAGGCTGGACCTTGTCGGCTGCCCCGAGGAATTCGGCGTCTTCGTCAGGTCCGCACAGGGTGAGGCCATCTACAAGAATAATAGCCTTGCCACAGGCGGCGGCTGGACGGATGAGCAGATCCAGGTGATGAAAGCAGCCGCCGAAGCCGAGGACGGCAGGGAGTGGTCCCTGGCCACCGCGGGCATGTGCGACCGCAGGAGGTGTAAGCCACACGCCTCATGGTACAATATCTTCACCAAGAGCACGCGGCACCTTATCAAAGAGCTGGCGCGCCAGGCCAAGGAGAAGCTCGACGCCGAGACTAGGGTCCGGGAAGCGGCTGCCACGAGGTACTTCAGGCGGAGGAACGAGAGGACCGCCGTGATGAGACTGGATGGAATGACTCTGACATGATATGCATCACACCATCTACCAGGCGGGAGAACCCCAGTAGGGCTAACGACAGTATCGCCGTATGTGCTAAATTGCAATTGGAGAAATAGACATCTATGTCGCTCAGGAGTATCAATGCCCCGGAACCGGTCCTCAAAATTAGGTTGGTCGTTAATATATGGGAATTCCTACCTCCGTGCCTCGTTTTCACTGCGACTTGGTGTCGCCTTGTTTCTGTAGCTGCTATCAACCACATGCGAGGAAATTGCACAACTTCAACCGAACGCCCAGGTGAGCCGCTTTCACTGACTTAGCTATATTTCAACTCCCTAGTGGAACGCCTTTTCACTTTTCCTCCTCCATCACTGGTATGATATAATGGGGAGCGAGATACCTAAGCTCTGTGAGATAAAAAAAGTGAATGTGACACTCAAATAGTAAAATTCAATCAAACTTAAGGCAACCCGAAGGTGAGTCGAGAAATCGAGGGTCTATGAATACGCGAAGCATGATCGCGGTGGGGCTCGATGGCCTAAGCACAGATAGGACGAGCTCCCTTGATAGAAATACAGTCCACCCTGAGAGACAAAGCAGCCCAGAGTACAATTTTCCCTGCTTAAGGAGACGAGCAGAAGGAAGCGTGTGGGCCCAATTACGACACATCGCCTCTAACGCGCTACAGACCAGGTCATAGCAAATTCACCACTTTTCTCATGTGCTCATGCAGCACACTGAGCTTTGTAAATACGTTATATTCGGCTGTCGCTGGAAGTCGCAATTCGCGAAATGGTTGGTGGTAGTCGCGGCCGCCGGCTTTGGTCCCATAAGTCGGGGCTGGACACCTGGGCACAGAAGAGAGACTTGTCAGCAATAAGCCTGCGACAAGTTCCAGCAGAAAGTGCTGTAGAAACGTAGCAACATATTCCCCAAGCACAGTCTCTACAATAGATCCATGGCCTAGCACCCAAGTATAAATGCCATATGGGTTCGTTATAATGTCCAGCCGTTGTTCATCAAAGCCTAACCCAAAACTTGGCATCATAGCGACACGGTTTTCAAGCACCTGAAACCAGTACAGGACAACATACTCCAAGCTGTTCAATGCCAGGATACCAGTTTTGCCTGTACAATTCGGTATAGGCCATACCACTTCACGCAGTCACTTGACAGCCAGTCCAGGCTGAAGAACTTCACCAGCCTCAACCATAGGAATGAGGCCCGAGAAGACACGGCACCCGCAGATGATGGCACCGTCATGATCGCCCGAACACGGATGTTGATCTTCCCACCCCCTGCGCCCTCCGAGGGCCAGTCCCACATATGAGGGAGAGCCCCAGGCCGAAGATCTCGGTCGGAAACTCCGTTGTATTACGAGGACGTAATCTCGTCCCATCGTCCCAACCAAGAGGAGTTTAAACACCGGAGGAGCCCTCCAGATGCTACCCACGCGCATCCCTCGATACTCCCAGGGCACTCGCCATCCAGTGATATCATGAGGGCTGCCATTTGCAGCCGGTCGTGAGGTTGTAGCTCAATGTGGACCGGTCGGTTTTGCAAAACCAGTGAGATTTCTAATCCCGTGACGTCCTCCTGCCCAGCCACGCTTAGGGGACGCGAATACGGGGTGGTTGTACACTATATGTTTCGATCGTCAGGACGGGACCTCGCCTAGAAATTCATCACTCTTAGGGCATCTATCACGACCCAACCCCTTCTCACCTTGGGTGCATTCTCACCGCTGGGCATCGTCCCAAGGGAAGGGGTTCTCGGGTAGGTCCACGTCATCCGTTCGAAGCCCCACTGGCGGGTACGGGCACGTGCTTGCAAGCCTTCGCTGTTGCAACCGGCTCACAAATGCCACCACCGATGACGGATTTGTTCGGCACAAGATAGCTGGCCTGTACAGTGCAGCACGTAACAGAACAGGATTCCTGTTTGGGACAGTAGTCTCAGACCACCCAGTGGGCTTCGAGTGGGCTTGGGCCAGGGTCAGGTCGGACGGGAGGCGAGTCTCGGATCTGTCAGGGCTTGCCACGCTCCGGATCAGTTGGGTTCCGAAAGGTGGTTCCCTGGAGGCAGCTGTCACGCTGGGGAGGAAACTGTCATCTTCGACTGGCGGCAAAGGCAAAACGATGGGACGAAATTGTGAATAATGCGGTGGCCGTTCGTCGGTGAAGACTGGCAAGATGGTGTGAGAGAAGCTAACTCCCGGGGCGCAGGATTCGCGAAGCTGCCGCCGGTTGATTGAGATCGTTGATACGCTCCATCTCCCGCATCTTGAGCTTCGCACGGATTCAGGTCAGCCCTGTTGCAATACCACTGTACCAACGTGTGCTGGCCGACAAACCATGATGCGCAATGAAAGCCCAGCGACGAGATTCGCGGACGATCTCGGTGATCCTGGGCCGGTTCTCAACAGGGCATCCTTTGATGGGGCCTTGTCTTGAAAATCCCTGATATTACCTCCGTGTGGGCGAAACACCTTGGGGATGATGGGGCTGGGTAGATCTCTGGTGGGGGACAGCATGACGCAGTGAGCATACGGAGTTTATCAGCCAGCGGTCGTGGCCCGGGGGCCCCTCGTACTCACTCACTTGTGATAACAAGGGGGCTCCGAGGTAAGCTTAACTGCTGCTCCCTCCCGAAAGCTTGGCCTCAGCTGGCCCCACCGTCTTGTCTCAGATTGTGCAGGGTGTTAGAGGCCAGCGCGTGCGTGGAAGGCGGCCTAGGCTGCGCAGAGATGGGATGAGAAATCGGCAGTCGTGTCGCTCCTCGTCATGTGGGTGATGGTCTGGGCGGTAGCTCCCGAGGCTACGATTGAGAGCCTCAAGAGTGATTGGCAGTCTCGTGACAGGAAATCATCGCAACATGCCTACGGACGACGCTCCACAGGATGAACGCTGCTGAAGCCCACATAGCTGCAGATCAGGGACGCCGTCCCGAATTCCGACGCTGTTTTGATAATGCACGGCTGGGCACTTGAGGCGAGTTCCAGGCCTTGCAACGCATCAATAAGACAGCGGCATATGATGTTCCTCCAGCCTGTGGTCGAAGTCACTGCCTCCAGGACACAAGTACCCGCTGGACACCCCGGAACCCAGCCAATTCATAGGGCTCGGTTGGATCTGCGAGGCCTAGCACAACTGAAACACGACCGCCTTCAGGAATGGGGAGCAAGGCTCAGCCTGCTAGCAGAGCCGTGTTTCAAGCTCTTTGCGTACCTGCTTGTCACGCAGGTTACTGACAGGGCTCTCTCACTCACTTGAGTCCGGCCCGGCGCCCGGGGGGGGGGGCACATGACTGCTTGACACCACTGCGGCCATGGCATATGCTGTGGGCATTGGAGATTCGCAGAGGAGTCCAAGAGGAGGCTAAAACATCCCAATGCAACAAGGTGTTAGCTGGTTTATCCTAGTGGACAGGCTTCCAGGTGGACACCGAACAGACGGCTAGTGGCGATCTCTTGGGCCTGTGCATTTTTCATGTCTCTCTTGTTCTCTTCTTGGCGCCATGCTGACTGGTTCTTGCCTGGCATGTAGTCAGCGGCGAACCCTTTCTTCCCGACCTTGACAGTCCCTGTCGCGGTCGCGGCGTCAGGAATGACTGACCTCGCCGAGACATACTGCAGGAATTACACAGACCGATGTGACTGCCCACTTCCCTTAGGCGCGAGGCACCCATAGGCACATCCATGTTGCTTCTCGGTTGCTTCTCGATCTCGCGGTTTACCCACTGAACTAACGCAAGAAAGGTTCGGTCGTACAGCGTCGCCGAGATATAGCAGCGAGCCACTGGGTTGTATTTCGAATGGCCTGGCCTTGCCTAGTCTACTGACATGATCTGATCTTTCCGACCAGAGCACTGGTGCGAAGTTTATCGAGGCAGCTTGGGCCATAGTGGAATAAGAGAAACTCCGAGTTCGACTTACCCAAAACGCCCTGCTCCCCGGCCGGGTGCAGGAACAGGCGTGGGGCCGTTGTGCCTCACCGCAGACTACCGGTAATTCCAGCTAGGAAACACCGTCACCTGTCACCGGCGTGCCCATGCTCACTGAGCCGTGGTATCCCAAGGAATTGCCGAGCTTGGGGCTCGCAGCAGCGCTTTGGCCTCGTCCGTTGCTGGCGGTGCATCGGCCGCCCCATCAAAGTGAACAAGAAGTTGGCGGGAAAGCATCCTCGCGTGAGCTGGACGAGGCTTATGACCGGGGTAGATGAAGGCGAGGCTAGGCAAAGACGACTCAGGACCAGGTGACCGGACAATTAAGCACTCAATGCAGGATCACCAACTTGGCGAGCTGGGTCTGCTGCCAGCCACCGCTGCTGTAGCGGCTACTGCTTCTCTCACGGCCAAGGCCCAATGTGCACGCATGGCTCAGAGCAGTTCGAGTCGGGGCTGCGGCGAGAACAGACGGCGACGGCTATGCAGCACACACGAAAAAACCAGGAGGCTGATATGCACGTCGTCTCATCTGAAGTGTGGCTGTCGTTCGCGGTGGCGAGGACATCAGAACGGGCGGCCGTTGTGCGGTAGCATTGAGTCTTGCCCGTGGCCTCGTCTGATGGATTTTACTCAAGTAGCCGCATCTGGTTGAAACAACGGGGCTGAGATGAAACGTGGAGGAAGGGCTCAGACCACCCGCACGGCGACCACCAACCGATGTCATTCATCGGCCGGCCTCCCCCCCCCCCTGCTGCCTCTGTATGGGTTTTTGTGAGGCTCTTGACAGCGTCAGTACCAATGCTGCGACAGATTGGCAAGGTTCGGAGATAAGGTTCACCGTAGAGCCATACCTGAGTCAACACAAGAATTGCAGCACAACGGGAGAGGTGGTGTGATGACGAGGAGGAAAGCGCGGGACTAGACAGAAATGGGAGTGGTCAGGATTTGGAAACCTGTTGCTTGCGCTGCAGGCTGCATGCACCGGCGAGGGTATCGACAAGGACGACACATACCACTGCATGCGTGTAGATAGCTTGCATGCTGCATTGCCGGCTATTGAGTGTTGGGCTGACGTTGATTTTGGCTGTTTTCAAAATGCACAGAATGAGAAGGGCCCCGGCCAGTGGTCACTGCTATGTACTTTTGCTGCGATGATCCGCAAGCGAGTGGTGATCTTGGCGCCGTGATTGGATGGTGGAGATGCACCTGCTCAGCGGCACACATGGGAAAATATGGAGACGGCAAGGGGCCATTTCCAACATATCGGAACTTGGTGTGCAGCTATCCGTGGGCTGTGCACTACTACCTACCGAGGTAGGTACAGTACATGTGTTTACTACTACGTACTACATACCTACCTAGGTACCTAGGTACCCGCGTGGCCAACATACAGCCATGATTGAATTTACCCAGCACAGCTTGAAGGCCGTGCACTCCTGGCGTAATGTGACATCTTGTGATGTGCGGAGTCTGCCATGTGTAGGATTGAAAGCCAGACATAACAAGAGGTACTCTACCGCTCAGTACCCTACGTGCACCTCTGCCCTTGGACTCGCATATGGCAGCTGATATGCATGTGCAGGGGTCCTCCCACCCGGGTCAACGACGTGCAAGGCCCTCCCTACCTGGGCACCTGGCACCTGGCACCTGGCACCTGTGCAACCAGGTTCAGACAGCGCCGTGGATGCTGTCAAGTTCCGACTATCTATGTACTGTAGTCAAGGCGTGCGTGCACCTCAGCGGCACGCATACTAACGGCCCAGTACCTACCTACCTACCTGCCTGCCCGCCCACCTCGGTACCCAGATATCCAGGTACTTAAGTAGGCAGCCCTAAGCAACAAGCGACCGTTTGACGCCACTGGCGCCAATGGCGACGCCGTCTCGTGCTGGCGTCCGACGGCGTCCGACTGCCCTTGACGACCTCAACGACTGCTGTTGTTGGGCCACGCCTGATGGCATCCACCTGCCTGGGTGAGTGACTGCTGTGGTATTGGGCCTGGGAACTGACGTGTCGCTGGCCCGGATCGCAGGCAGGCATTTCCCAGCGGCATCAAGGTCCCAGCCGACGTCGCCCGCGATCTCATCAAAGCGTATCGGTGAGCTGCGCCCGCAACCGCATTAATGCCCTTGTAATTGGGGTCATCTCGCGAACTGAGGCTTAACTTTCTTTGACTCGCCTCGGGTCGACTCACACAACGTTCCTCCTGGTGGTTTTTTTTGGCGTTCTGGTCCTCAAAAGTGTGAAAAGACACCGGACCTTGTCGCCGCCAACGACGTACTACACCATGACCAATCCTCAGACAATTTGGTCCTATTGGTGAACCCCCTTTTGTCATGGTCTGGATATGGGGCAGGGGGACAGAAACAGGGAGGACGCATACCAGACAAGGTTTCGTTTCGCACTCAACGCCTCTGGCCGCACAGTACGCACCACGCAGACAGACACGCAGGCAGGACATGACCCGCTTGTCGCCCACCGCACACCGCTTCGACAAAAATTCTACAGATACGCGCGCTGGAGCCTCGCTCGGGGAAATGCTGAACTGCGCCCTCCCACGATAGATACCCACCGCCCACCGCCCTAATCGGGGCGCTGGGCCACAGGAACAACAAGCAGTACGACAGCCGCAGTGGGCTGGCACCTGTGGACTGGCACTGGCAGCAACATGTCGGCGTGCACGAAAGCCCGCAGCCCCATCCCGCCCGACTCGGGTTCGAGGTCCCGCTGAGGACAACTCGGTGGGAACCTTAGATTGCCGCAAGGGCCCGCCGATTGCGACGATCTGTACCACAGTATCGAGCTCGCGCTTCCCTTCGCTTGCATCGTGCCCTTCTTCTCCAGTCGTGATGCTAGCGTACCCTCAGCGAGCCATGTTGCTTCCGGACCCTCTGCATAGTACGCCGGTGTGCAGTGCCCCAACGCCGTCCCGGCCAGAGTAGCAATAGCCGGGATCTGCAGGATTTGCAATAACGGGCATGTGGTTTATGAACTCTAAGCAGACTGGCTCCCCTTTCGGGCCCTGGATTTGACGCCGACTCGCCAGCTGTCCCCTTTCCGAAACCATAGTCATGCTGAGACTTGACAGCTCCCGCAATCAGGATCGTCGTCCAGTGGCCGACCCCGTCCCGTATAGTCACGAGGTAGCCAGGAGGGGGGCCCCATGAGGGGTCCTGGTGGGTACGCAGATGCGTTGGAGCGAGTCAATCAACCTTGATTATGACAAGTGACAACAACAGAGATCGTCGTCCAGGCGTGGTCGGTGGGGCTTGCAGATGGGAGACGCAGAGGGCTGAAGGCTGAAGAAGCCCGCGAAGCCGTCCTGCCCGGATAGGCTCAAGGGACGGTGGGGGGATGGAGGCTCGTCGCTGAGCGCTGGGCGCTGGGCGCTGCCGAGTCGAGGCCCAGGACAATTCTAGGCGAGGTCCACCACCGCATGGGCGATCATAACCAAAAGTGGCATCACGCAAAACTCAAAAACCCAGAAGGGTGAGGGGCGAGCCTGTAGGTAATTCGCGCGCCAACATGGGCGTTCCAGAAACACGGAGGGAGACAGCACTAAAACTTTAAACCACCACATCAACAAGTCAGTGACAGTATAATCCGCCGAGGGGCCCCTATAGCAGACACCTGTCGTGGTACAACGCTACCTACTACGCACGCGCTCACACCCGGCCCCTGATGCGCGCCGCGCGGTGTCTGGACGACGTGGGCTTGAGAGCTTGAGAGCTTGAGAGCTTGCTGCGAGAGACGAGGCGCAATGGCGGCCGCTGTGACGGTAGCGACAGGCTCCCGGAACATTATTTTTAATGCAGGCCGTCTGCTTGAGTCGCTGATCGCCGGGCTGACTTGATTTGGAGGACGATCCCGAAGGCTTGGCCATACGGCAATTTCCTTGTGGGGACGGGGGAGCCACGAGGCAGACCAGCAGTTTGTACTCGTGAGTGGCAGGAGGCAAAGGGCAAAGCTAGAAACCAGAGATGTACAACTGCAGCAGTCGCCCAGCCAGTCAGGCATATGACGCGCTGGGGTTGTCTTTTTGGGGGCGGCGGTGACAAACCTTGTTGACTGTTGAGGAAGAGAAGGAGGAGGTGGTGGTGGTGGCGATGGTGGTGGATGGGGCGCATGTGGGAGACACATTGCGGTCACAACGAAAAATCCGCTTCTAATGACAAATCGCCTGAACAAGACAAGCCCACCGCAGATAAACACAGAATTGGAAAAAGGACTGAACATACAAAGCAAGACCCGGGAGATTTCCAGAGGGCTGAATCGGACAAGGCTTCCCCGGCTCAACCCCCCCCCCCACACGCACACTCACTCACTCACTCATACCCAAACAGTACACGTGCGTGGCCTAAGCTTATAGGATTCCATACCCACTTGTCTCCCCTGGGCACAAGTCCCTTTCCCCGATCGGCCTTCTGAATCGGCACGCTCACTTTAATCCCAGTGCTCATCACCGCAGATTCCAGCCCTCGCTGGATCCCATGCGCTCGCCCATCATCATCATGAGGCACGAGTCCGAGAGACAAGGGTGTCGCCCGCCTCGGCCCCACCTGGAAGTTTATTGTGATGATGGGTGGTTGTCGCCTCTGGTGGTGGCGGTTGCATGCCTCCCTGTCGAGATGAGATGGGAGTTTTTAGATCGTGAGTTGCATGACCTGTGCATGGTGGGAGTAACCGCGTCCGACTCATGAGAGTAACTCTCCCGGCCTGTAGGCCAGAGCGGTAGCTAGGAATTTTTGTTTTTTTTTCTCTCAGAGGTTCGAGACGAGTAGGCAGACAATTCGTTGTGGGGACAGTTCACGTCAATGGCCCAGTGAGATGATTTTGAAATGCCAATTGATACTTTGTTCTTGATTTTGAAATGCCAATTGATACTTTGTTCTTGTAAGCTCACCAGCTTGTCAGAAAAGTGCAGCTAAGAAGCCACACAAACCCGTCCTCCACGGGTAAGTAGTATCGTACACCAGCTCCCTGATGAGCAAGTCTGATCTATCGGCGTAGACCTCAACATGGGGGAAATATACAATAAGTTATAGTGTAAGCGAGTGGTCCTCGCGTGGGAATAGTTTTTCCCGCCAGCCCTGGGGGTTAACAAGACCTCATGCCCCTTTGTACAAAAACCAGAAACCATGTAGCGCCCATGAAAATGCTCCCAGCAAACGCGAAGGCGCGAAAAGTAAACACCGGCTTAACGCCCTGTACCGTGTGTGTGGGGGGGGGGGAGGTGACAAAAGAATGTTTTGTTGAGACGCCCCGGGTCTCCCCAAACCGGAACTCCTCCCGGCCCTCCGTGTGATGATCAGGGGTTTCTCTGAACCCCGTTTGATGAAAGAATTGGTATCATTCCAAGCTGCCTCCCAGTGCCAACACTTGGTCATCCCGTGCCAGGTAATGCGCATAAGAGAGCATACCGCGAGGTATCCGTCCGTCTGATCGTCCCGTCTTTTGATAAGTACCCGTCATGACTTGCGGCGCACCAATTAAATGTACGTAGTAGAATAAGCTTTTGTGAATCGAATTTGTCGTCTTGACAAGACATTATTTTTTCTTGCCCTCTTCTCTATGACATCAGAGGGGATCCGTTGCTGCTCGTCTCAAAGTTGTGGCAGCCACGCTCGTGTCTCTTCATGTTGCTGCGAACGCTGAAGGCCTTGCCACAGCCGGCGTGAGGGCACTTGAAGGGCTTCTCGCCGGTGTGAGAGTGGCTGTGGATTCGCAAGGAGCTGGGCCTGGAGAAGGCCTTGTTGCAGGTCTGGCAGATGTAGCGGTCCTGGGACTGGGGGAATGAGGCGGCTGAAGATGGCGAGATGTAGTGGTGGTGTTGCCAGGGGTTTGAACCAGACGAGGGCATCGCCACGCCGAGTGGCATAGGAGGGAAGGCCTGGGAGAGATGTGAGCCTGGGTGCAAGCTGACGGTATCCGAAGGGGATCTGATGCTTACATGAGGGAGTGGCCTCTGGTAGTAGAGTCCTGAGACCTGTGGCTGCGGCGGAGGAGTGGGCTGCATAGCCGGGTAGTAGGACGCCATTGCAGGTGGTCCCATGTATGATGAGGCTGCGAAGGCCGACTGTGCGTAAGAGGGCGCCTGAATTGGGAGGCGGGGAGCCATCTGCTGGCGTTGAGCCTCCTGCTCGACATGGCCCATTGCAGGTGCGGCGTCGTAGAAGTAGTTCGATGCGGCTGACAGCTGGCTCACAGACTTTGTCGAAGGCGAGTGATAACCCTCGAATGAAGCATCGGAAGACATTGGCGGGGTGGGTGGGAGCGCACCGCTGCGGGCAGCGGCATTATTGTAATGCGATGAATCCGGGCGAGCATCGGGCTTGTGTTGTGATGAAGCTGGCCGGCATGTCAGTGGCCGTTGAAACTGGTCGCGGCTGTGCCTCTTACCTTGTTGCGACGCGGGAGAGTGTTCGGTAGTGGGCGACCCCCCATCGGCCAGACCAAGCAGGTTGGAGATTGAGGGCAGGGAACACTTGGATGTCTCGTCCATTGGGGGCGATGGTGGGCCCTGAGGCTGTCCGTAGGCGTAGTGTGCGCTGGGCTGTGCGGCGTAGTGATTCGACATCATCATCGTTGCCATTTCTGTGGTGATTAAAATAGGCTTCCCTCGCGGAGGTGAAGTGAGGCTGTCTCTTTCTGGTGTGTTTGAGTGTGTTGTGTGTGTGTGTGTGTGTGTGTATGTTGGCACGTAGTAGGGAAAACAAGACAACTAATATTATGCAACCAAGGTAAGATGAAGATGGTTGTTAATGGAAGGGATGCTGGGGCTGATACAAGCTGATGTTGGGATGTTCAAAGGGACGAGATGGGTGCCGAGGACAGAACGTGGGAGTGGTGGATATCTTATGTAGGTGACGACGAAGACAAGCCCAATGTGGGAATTGGCAGGGCAGGTTCAAGGGCAGAGAGGCATGCTAATGAGATCTCCCGAAGTAGAGAGGCAGGGACGATCAAGCGTAAATCGATGACCGTTGATCCCTGGACGCGGATGCCGCAATAGCAGCTGTCACAAATTGTGTGTGGGTCACCGTCCAAGTCGCTGTGAGGTTGCGACGAGACCTTGGACGGAGGGGATCCTCAGCCAGGCGGCGGGCGCAGAGGTACGGGGTACTCGAGCGTGAACGACGGGTACCCTCGAGTTCCCTCTGACTCGGGACGTGATCGGGGTGATCCTTAGCGGTGCTTTTGCATGGCGGACCCGTCCTCGACCCCCCTGCCGACAGCCCCTGGCTGCCACGATCGCAGGCAAGGGTGGGTGGGGAACTGGGTGCAGACAAGGGTCCGAGGAAGCGGTCGAGTGTCATGGCCTCTGCCGGGGGGGCGGCCATGATGTACCCCATGTACCTGATGTACCTCCTGTACACCACCGCCGTACCTGGGGGCCTGAAGAAGATCGGTCGGTCTGAGGAACATGACTTGCAAGGATCTGCGCTGGACCCGCCGCTGGACAACTGGGAACCAAAAAACGGGTGCCCACCAATCCGACCTCTGCCTGTGGCTACGAACGTGAAAGATCATCCCAAGCCGGCCCCATTCACGGAGGAGAGCGTGGATGGGGGTTGGACGGTCACCGCACTGGGGGTGGTGGTCGTGGTGGTCGTGGTGAGAAGGACGGCAGGCATCAGAGACGGGCAGACTGGTGGGCAGAGATGCCGCCGAGTTGCGACGAACCCATCGAAGTGTACGGATAGTAGAGGCAGGTCTGTCATCCAGCGTGCCCGGGCCAAGCGATTTCAACGTTTGCACTAGCCCGAAGGGGTAGCATGGCTGGGCCATGTCGTGGGCCGCCTTGCCTGTTGCGGTGTCGCTGCCGCGGCCCCAGGCTCAACGACAGTCTGTGGGAGACCCTGCTGGGACGGGCAGGGGTGCCCTGTTCCTCCATCTCACACTTGAGACGAGCAGCGACCGGATTGTCCATTTGCCTGATAATGTTTGAGGCCCCAAAAGCTTCATCGGGGCCGTATGGGCTTGGGCTGCGACCGGATTGACTAGCCATCTCAATGCCGTCCTGCCCTACCAAAGCTGTCATCTCAAACCTGTAGACGTACTCCTCCCAGCGTTCGGATGACCGCTGTCGCCGTTCCAGAACTTCAGCCCTGTCTCCAGCCACAGCCCGGCCGCCGGCCTCCTTGTCGAGGCTGACTGACCTCTGCTTGGTACGGGTTGTCGGATCTGTTACTGGTGGAGCGACAGATCGACGGGCAAATTCTCCTGGCCCGCAAACGACGCCATGGAATCGCGTCGCGGGGTGGTGAGTTACGGATTGTGCTGCACGATGCATGCTGGTGGTGCCAATGGCCGGCGAGAGGCGAGAGGCTCAGAGCGCCTGGGCTGCTGGGCTGGTGGGCGAGGACTGGACAGCGTCACTGCCCCACGCACATGTCGTGATGATAAAAATAAAATAAAGGTCCAATTAGGGTTTCGAAGGGCCATCATCAATGATCAACTACACAGTCCAGCACGCGGCAAATCTGCAGCAACAAGACGATCCTGTAATGGTCCCATCATTCATTCCATCACCGACTCGTTCATTCATCCGTTCATTCATCCATCTATTCATCCCATCCATCCCGTCTAGACAGTGGTGAAGCAGCAGCAGGGTCCGTGACTTGACGATGCGTCCCATGCGTGAGAGATGCGCAGTTTCGATGGGGTACAATTAAGCTTGAGTGAGGGCGAGTGGATTTCCACATGGATGAAAACTTGGTTGAGGCTCTGATCTCCGTCTTACGGTACCGTGGCACCGTGGTAGGTGATGACCCGCATGGGGGCGGTGATGAGACGCGGCCCTCCGATTCTCAAACACTTAACCCAGGGCTAATGTTTTCTCCTCGAGAAACAGCCGGCCGGGTTTCGAGACTCGGGAAACACATGCAACAGGGCATGCCACACGCAGTGGTGTCGAGGGAGGAGGAGAAGGTTCAAGCCAGCACGTTCCGGCTGATGTCCCTGGAGGCCCTGCCACGGCCGGGGGGGGGTGGTTGCCCGCCAGCTTTGCCCCTTAACACCGGCCGAATATGCTTTAATTGGGGCCCCGCGATCGACGAGGAGGAAACGAAGAGGTCATCGTGGGCGGCAGGGGTGGGACAGGGTGTGTCTTGTGGACGAGTCGCCTCCGGGTGGGCTGCGGAGGCCAGAAGGCATAAGATTGGCCTTGTGTTCCGAGGCTTCCGTTCCCCAGGCTGGAGGCGGCATGGGCACTTCTGGCACGGGCAAGGTCTGAGGACGACAAGGCAGGCGCGGGCTGTTGAGGCTTAACGTTGTTTGGTGTGGGATCCTGACGTCTTTCGTCCAATGCCGTCCTGTCCAAGATGTGTGATGCCGCCGTAAACAATGCATCCCAATGCTCATGCCATCCCATCGTCGGCAACGGCAAGGCCCATTGACTTTGGCTGACACGGCACGACACGACACGACACGACATGACATTAGTAGGCACGTGGACGACAACGTCAGGCACAGTGTGCAGGCCCGCCCCGCCCCGCGCAGGCACGCACGCCTGCGGTGTGGACTGGCGATGATCGGCGAGGACGGCCAAGACATTGGCGAGCAGAGCTGAGGGCGGTATGGTTTGGACAACCGGCTCTTCCACTGCATGCTGTGCCTCGCATGCAGGCGTTCCATGCAACCGCCCAAGGGCAGATCCAGCCTACGGCCATCGGTATAAGGTTCGTTGTGGGGTTGTCTGCTGGTTTCCAAACAGGCAATGGGTGTCATCGCCAGCCGTGCGAGGAAGCCATGATGAAGCTCAAGGCGGCTTGCTGCCGTGCAAACTGCCATTGCCCTTTTCCTCGCACGTTTGTCTTGTGTGGTTGGCGGTGTGCACCCCCCCAAGCCCCCCCCCCCCCCGAGACGATCAGCCTCAGTTGGCCGTCCGAGATCGACTCGGATCGGTAGGATCACGGAGATCACGACTTGAACCATCAACTGCCGTGGCCACTGGGGGCATGCGGGAGAGTGTTGGAAGCGCCGCCCGGGACCCAAGTCTAGTTCCTCCCCCTTGTTGTGCAAGGGAAATCACACGCCTATACCAGCACGCACATATATTGCCTCTCCTTGGGCAGGCTGGAGACACGCTACCAGCAGTACTTTTGACGCCAGTACTTGACGCCTGAATGCAGGTGTGCACCTCATCAGACGTTAGCGGCTGGCAGAAGCAGAAGCCACCACTCACTCACCCTTGACGAGACTGCCGTGTCATGTGCTTTGTGCGCAACCCATTCCGCCCACCGATGGGACACCGAGGCCTGCGAGGCCAGACAGCCTGACAGCCTGACAGCCTGACAGCCAGGTCGGCTGTCGCTGGCCAAAACAGCCGTGCGGGCGGCGCCGGCGCGGCGTTGGACGGCGTTGAGCACGCCGGTGACTAAAGGCTCAGTCATCGCAAAGAGGCACTAGTGACCACCGCACCTGGCTGCGTTGTGGTTGTGGCCCTTGGCAGGGTCGACGTGCTGCGCGGAAGCAACTGTCTCCGGCACCTGAGGCTCCCATGCAGTGCAGGCCTGCTGCTGAGTTCCTACACGGTAGTCCAGCCCACAGACCTCGCTGTGACAGGCCCTGAAGGCCTTGGCATGCCGTCGGGCTTGGCACCATGCACTGCAGTTCTGAAGCCCAGTCTGTTACGGAAATCGAGTCGCCTAGTACCGAGTGCCTGCACTGCCTTGCCCTTCCTTGCCCTTCCTTGCCCTTCCGAACCGCCTCCCTGCCTCCCTGCCTCCCTGCCTCCCTCCCTGCCTGCCTCCTCGGAACCTGTCGATCACTGCTCCAGGATTCCAGTTTTCCGCTGCCCTCCATTGGCTTCTTGTCAGGTGCGCACCGGCCACAATCCCATCCCTTCTCTGCCGAGACGCACGTTTTCAGCCTTGCTGTCTGTCAGCGATGTGATCAACACGCGACCTCGACATCCAGGCCCCCAGGTGCCAACCCACGGCCTTCTCATCCCAACACCACGGGGTAAACCTTCTCCGGGCTGCGCCTGACCGACCCAACCGGTCGAACGGGTGCTGCGACCATGTCACCCTGTAGATTCCATCCACGGGGCCGACATGAACTATTTGGGGGCACCATACACAGTACCGACCGGTAGCTGTTTTTTTGCTAGGCCCCGTCAGGCTTGGGACCACGCTTTAAGATTTCAACGACACGTCCTCTTCGGCGCTTCAGCGGTGGTGCCGCTGGTCGAAATTGACCGGTGGGGGTGATCATCATCACGACGTCTCCCACCCCTCTGAATTCAAAATTGAGAAGGCCCCGCCAGCAAGAGCCCATTATTAGACTGGCCAGGCAGCCTGGGGGAGCTGGGGAGCTGAACCAGCCGGCCAGGTGCCAGGCTGCCAGGGCTGCCGGGTCGCATCTGCTGCAAGGCAAATGATGATGGGCCATCCGCCGATCTTCCCCAACTTGGCCTCTCGAGATTTGGATGGGCCACGATCGCCTTCCCTTTTCAGCGCGCCAGGGCTGCTGGGCTGATGGGATGGGCCAGCCCGCCCACCCACGCCCACTCTCAGCTTCGCGCCTTACCTCGAATGATCGCGCAACAATCCCGCCGCCCCTGCCCGCCGCCCCTGCTCGCCGCCCATGGAAATTTGATGCTGCCGGGACGAATATTCTTGACTCGACTTCGATACGATCGCACCGAGTCTTGATGGCAGGAAAATTCAGATTAAGATCACGAGATCTGAGCCTGCCTCAAGAAACGGGATCAACCTTGGAGCATCAGGGGCAGCAGCGCCATTTGGCGGGCTAGCACTTCAATCTGGTCAGGAACCACACCGACCTGCACTGCCGTTCAAGGCTAATGGGCAACGGTGCGTGATTGCGAGCTTCCAGAAATCCTGCCCGTCTCCGCAAGCTGGTTTCCCGGCAGTCCCGGGCACGTGTCGACTGGAGCCTCTGAAACTAAGTTTCCCCAGGCCCGCCCAGCCCCTCGATTAATCTCATCAAGCCAGCGTCCCTGCATCCTCAACGGCCTGAGGGCTAATACCTTACGGAGCACTTGCACCTTTTTTGCCCTCCAACACCCAGGCACTCTGGCACCCAGGCACTGCGATGCACGCACTGGGTTTATCGGCACTGCAACATGGTGCCTGACTCCTCCTGGCTGCGCGCTGTCGATCATTCCTCGAACTTC